CAGATCATTAAAGACCAACGATTTTGGAAATTAGGTGAACAAAACCAATAAGGATTTACATCGGACCAGTAGTGACATTTATGTCTATTTACAGTTCTATTGCTACTGAAAGTTGCCTCATCCGAAAAGAGTACGTACCGGAAAAAGTTTTCATCTTGGTGGATTATTTGCAGAGCCCATTCACAAAAATTTACACGAAGTAAGTAATCAGTAAAATTCAAATGTTGTGTCAACGTTATGTGATATGCATAAAATTTTCTCGCCTTTAATATTCTCGCAACTGTTCGCTGAGGTATGCCACTTTCTCTTTCGATGTGACGAGTGCTAATATGACGATCGAGATAAATTTTTGCTAGAATGGTTATAACACGATTATCATTAACATCATATTCATGATGTCGTGATCGGCGAACCATAGACCCATCACTTGCTCTCTGCGTAAGGGTTTTAATGGTTACCCTAGTTGGATGCCTTCTATCAGGATAACGTTGANATGGTTACCCTAGTTGGATGCCTTCTATCAGGATAACGTTGAGCATACAGACGTTCAGCTCTCGAAAAATTATTCCTACATTCCCCCAATATTTTGATCATGTCCACGATTTTGTTTGGTGGGTAGGTTGTCATATTAAAGATAAGACATTACCTGAGTTCTAAAAGTATTGATTTCTCAATAGATACAAATAAGCGGAGATATCGTTGATATTTAAGCATTCACGTCTGCTTTATGATTGCAGGATGATAGTCATGGTCATAGCAACCTAGCGGAAGAGCTACATACGAACTAGTCGCGCATAACTATGAATGTCTGAAAGTCAACCAATTTTCACCAAATTTTGTACACGGGAGTTGGTGGGGTTATAACACAATTATCATTAACATCATATTCATGATGGTATTGACCTATGCATTCAAAAAAATGGAAGGAATTTCGAACAGGCACTTCGCTAAGTGTACTACTTAGCGAATTAACTGTTTGAAGTTACAAATTAACTAAATAAAGCATTCTGATAGTGAGAGGCAAGGGGACTCACGTAAATAAAGCACCCCGATAGTAAGAGGCAAGGGGACTCACGTAAATAGAGCACCCCGATAGTGAGAGGCAAGGGGACTTACGTAAATAAAGCACCCCGATAGTGAGAGGCAAAGGGACTCACGTAAATAAAGCACCCCAAAGGGAACAAAAAACTACTACGTCCACGCCGTTGTTTCTGGGTAGTGCTAAAAGTAGTAATTTCTATTAATTTTGGCTAAAAATTTTGTCCGCCATTTTGGTCCGCCATCTTGGATCCGCCATTTTGAATTTTGCAAATTTGACTTCAGATTCGTGATCAGCATCCCCAAAAACCCTCGTAAACTTAATTTGGTGCAAGTCGGTTGACTAAAATTTTTTTCGCCATTTTTGTTCGCCATCTTAAAAATTTTACACCAGCCAAGGTTATATCTGAACGTAAAATTTTTCGCGTTTTCATTTTCCGGTGTCAAAAAAGGGGGTTTCCATTTTAAAAAAAACCACTTTCTGTTGAAGTAATCCACTTTCGGTCAAAATCAAAAGTTGAAAGGTACGCTATTTTGGTTCACCTTCGAAACCCTACAACTTTTATATGAAACTTTTTTCGATTCCTGGCCACACAAACGAGTTATTGGAGGTGATAGATTCAGATGACTCACCCTGTATATGTATATATTTATATATAAACAGTATAATATTACTTTACTAGGTTTTATTTTTGATGTTTTAAAGAAAATTTAACGCTAATTATACAAATCTAGTATAGTGTTTGATTTTTTATTCTTAATATTTAAGTAATGTTTAAAAATATTTTAATAATCACTATGACGTTTATCTATTTTCATGGTTTTTTACTGTTTTACTTAAATATATTTTACTTACTTACACTTACCGTAAGTAATTTTTTTATATCACGTAAAATTATATCACGTAATAATTAAATAAATAAATATTTGATATAAATTATTAAAGTCACTTTCAATGCAGAGTTACTCTTTTGGGGTGACACTCTATTGACCACAGTACGATTCGACACCGCTCGATTCGACACAGATTTATTCGACACCAAATTATTCGACACCGTACGATTC